TGTATCGGTCACTTGTAACCGATGAGAACCAGTCTGAACTTCCTTTTATTTACAACTTTGCCATTATTCTAGGGTTTTTGTCATTTAGTATAAATATGCTTGATCTAATGTTTTTAGAATCAAGTCTTGTTCTTGCTTAGTTATCTGATTACTTTTGAGTTTTGTAAGAACAATTCTATCATTTTAATCAAAGTTTTGTATTTACCTTTTAATTTCTTCTCTAATCTCCCTCTTAATCATGTTTAGCATCTTTTACTCATGTGATTTGGTGTTTTCTATGATGATGAGTGAGTAGTAACCTTTATGGTTTTAGATGTGGTAGATTAGGAGAATTTAAAGGCTTATTCCAGGTTTGTTAGTGTTTAATATGATTGATTCCTCTCTATTAATCTGTGTTTAGGCTAGATTTGTCTTGATCACATGAATCTAGATTTAGGCTTTATCTTACGCCCACCAAGTGTTTGATGAAATGTTGATCTTGTTTAATAGAAGATTTACTGGTCTTAGCTCAAGAGATTGACTGTCTGAGGAGTATTTTTGACTTGAATAGAGTTGGTTTTGTTTGCTTCTTGATTGTTCTAGCACTAATGAGAGTTAGTTCTTATTAGGATGATTAGCAAATGGTTATTTGTCAAAAGATTGAACTTAACTTGCTTGATTGTGAACTCTATGTCTAGGAATCAGTATTGCTTGCTTGTTTGCATTGTTAATGATGTTTGAAACAACCTTATCTAGCCTTTGAATTTCTCAAAGTCAATAACCACATCTAGGATCTTTTTTCTCTTATTTGAATTTTGAATTTTGCTTTAAGTGCTATGTTTTTTTGCTATGTTTTGCTTTTGATCATTGCTAAGTTGTTCTCTTTTGAGTTCTGTTTGGTGCTTGATCACTTAGGTTGATTGTTTTAGTTGCTAAACAACAAATCTTCTCTGAATTTACTTGACTTAAAGCTTTCTGCTCATAGTTCTAGTGGTATCTAGCTTAACCCATTTGGATTGATAAAAACCATATGATATAGTACAACTGATTAGTACAAAGGGTGACCGAGAAAGAGTTTAAAAACTCTAGTATCAAGCTTCATTCAAGAATAATTAATTTGATCAAGCTGTCAATCTCACACCCTAAAGATTTGAGTGCAATCCATCTTTAATGACACATGTGCAGGGCTGGCTCATGAGGCAAACAGGAGAAGCCAAGGATTAGGGCATCATAAAATTTTAGGGGCATCAAAAATTTTAGGACCATCATTTTTAAAAATGTTCAGTATTATAATTATTTATTAATATTTATATATATAAAAATTTTCAAGTTAAAATTTATTAAGAATTATTTGCAATCTACAATGTCATAAAAAATTGAATGGGCTGACTTTATTATCAACAGAAACAGTTATGGTTGGAAAACTATATTATGTGAATTTAATGAATAATTTTGCAAGCAAAAATGCAAAAATGCTATTTTTCAATGATATATATATATATATATTATAAACTATTTATAAATTTAAATTATTTATTTGAAATTGAATTTTTTTAATAGAATTTTTAACTATAATTTTTTATGTTAAATATAATATAAATATATATGTTTTAGATTTGTATAGAGCATTAAAAATTGTCGAACAGGCACTGCACATGTATAAGGTATAAGGAAGGGTGTGCGGAGCTGCAAAATCTTCGAACTCATTTGCGGAAAATAAACTCATGATTCTTATTAGTAACATTTCCAATAATGCTTTCTTGCAACTTAGTTACATATCAATTATTAAGAAACAGTTAATATGCGTTACGAGTTAGATGTATCTAGAGACTATTATTTTTTTTTTGGTCGAACAAAGACTATTAATTTAGTACCACATTTTGTTGGTGCCGCTGCCTTTCTATTTTTCTTTATATTTGTGTTGTTGTATCTCATATCGTATATTTTATCATATTTTGTATTTGTACTAGAATTTTGTATAAGTATTATTAATATTAACTAACAGAAAATTTAACATTTTTACGTAAAATATTTCAAATGTTTTGATCGAACCAAAATTAGGTTGCAAATGCCAAATGGGCTCAATCAATTGGACAAGAGCATCATGTAGTTGAAAGTTAAAACGCTACTCGCAGTCTCGCACTACGCGGTGGGTTTCAGCTAAAGAAACAGCACGCAGTCCACTTAAAAAACACTAAAACAACACAATGTTTTCCTTTTCCTCATTTTTCTTCTTCTACAAACCTGCATCGACTCGCTTGTTGGATAAGGTCGAGACTCAGACTGCAACTTCGAAAGAAGTAACAAAAAAAAATGTCATTTCATCTATGTTCCTCTCCTTCATCTCTTCTCCATGATCCTCATCCTCTCTGCAATCTCCTCTCAGTTCATCCCAAATCTACTCCAAGGAGTTTCTTTTCCTCTTACAACCCCAATTCTGCTCCCTTCCACTCCAGAAACCTCCTCCAAGTAAGCCATGTTTCAGTACAAGAGGCGATTCCGCAGGAAACCCATAGCGAAAAACCCACACTTGATGCGACTTCACCATCCGCACGTTCCAAAAGCTACGTCTGGGTGAATCCCAAGAGCCCGAGAGCTTCTCAGCTCCGTAGAAAGTCGTACGATTCGAGGTATTCTTCTCTCGTCAAACTAGCCGAGTCTCTGGACGCTTGTGCCGCAAACGAGGCTGATGTTTGCGATGTAATTACTGGGTTTGGTGGTAAGCTCTTTGAGCAAGACGCTGTTGTTACCCTCAACAACATGACCAACCCAGAAACCGCGCCGCTTGTGTTGAACAATCTCCTCGAGACGCTGAAACCCAGCAGGGAAGTGATTCTCTACAACGTCACCATGAAGATTTTCAGGAAATCCAAGGATCTCGAGAAATCCGAGAAGCTGTTCGACGAAATGCTCCAGAGAGGGGTTAAACCGGACAATGCAACCTTCACGACGCTAATCAGCTGTGCGAGGCAGTGTGGTTTACCTAAGAGAGCTGTTGAATGGTTTGAGAAAATGCCTTCTTTTGGTTGTGAGCCTGATAACGTCACTTTGGCGGCCATGATCGACGCTTATGGGCGTGCTGGTAACGTCGAGATGGCATTGAGCTTGTATGATCGTGCGAGGACTGAGAAATGGCGTATTGACCCTGTTACGTTTTCAACTTTGATTAGGATATATGGTTATTCTGGAAACTATGATGGGTGTCTCAATATCTATGAAGAGATGAAGTCTCTTGGGGTGAAGCCGAATCTGGTTATCTACAATAGGCTGTTAGATTCTATGGGTAAAGCCAAGAGGCCTTGGCAGGCCAAGATAATCCACAAGGATCTTCTTAGCAATGGCTTTGAACCGAATTGGAGTACTTATGCTGCTCTTATTAGAGCCTATGGTAGAGCTCGTTATGGAGACGATGCGCTTGTTATCTACCGAGAGATGAAGGAGAAAGGAATGGATTTAACTGTGATTCTTTACAACACTCTATTGTCCATGTGTGCTGATATCGGATATGTGGATGAGGCTTTTGAGATTTTTCAAGATATGAAGAGTTGTGGGACTTGCGATCCTGACAGCTGGACCTTCTCCTCGCTAATCACTGTGTACTCTTGCTCTGGAAGGGTTTCAGAGGCCGAGGCAGCTCTGCTTCAGATGAGAAAAGCTGGGTTTGAGCCTACTCTTTTTGTTCTTACGTCACTTATCCAGTGTTATGGGAAGGCCAAGCAGGTTGATGATGTTGTTAGGACATTCGATCAAGTCTTGGAACTGGGGATAACTCCGGACGACAGATTCTGTGGCTGCCTTTTGAATGTAATGACACAGACGCCAAAGGAGGAAGTCGGTAAACTCATTGGCTGTGTCGAGAAGGCTAAGCCAAAGCTTGGTCTCGTGGTAAAGATGTTAGTCGAGGAGGAAAACTACGAGGAAGGGGTGTTCAAGAAGGAAGCATCTGAGCTGATTGATTCCATTGGCTCTGATGTAAAGAAAGCGTTTTTGAATTGCTTGATTGATCTCTGTGTCAATCTCAATAAGTTGGAAAAAGCTTGTGAGATCCTTCAACTGGGGCTGGAGTTAGACATATATACGGGTCTTCAGTCGAAATCTGCTACCCAATGGTCCTTACATCTGAAAAGTCTCTCTCTCGGTGCAGCCTTAACCGCTCTTCATGTTTGGATGAACGACTTATCAGAGGTGGCTCTGACATCCGGAGAAGAGTTCCCTCCGTTGCTTGGAATCAACACTGGACATGGGAAGCACAAATACTCAGACAAAGGCTTAGCAGCTGTTTTTGAGTCTCACTTAAAGGAGCTAAATGCTCCTTTCCATGAAGCCCCGGATAAGGTTGGCTGGTTTTTGACCACCAGTGTTGCGGCAAAGGCATGGTTGGAGTCTAGACGTTCATCTGCAGAAGTTTCTGCGTAGCACTGAGTCTTTTGGTATGTAGCTTTGATATGTCTATGTGGCTCTAAGCTTTAATCTCTTTTCCTCTTGATTCGCAGAAGTTTAGCACTCGTCTTTGCTTTGTAGCTTTTGATATGTCTATGTGGCTTTGAGCTTTATTTTCCATTTAGCTTTTTCTCCTGATACTGGAATTCTCTGGATCAGGAAAGATTTTGTAATGCTAGTAAACTCGATTTATATACATTTAAAACGATTTAGAGAGCTGATTAAGTCTCCTTCTCCTTAGTTCATGGTCTTCTTCTCTTAATTATCATTCTATTGACTTTAATAATGGGGCGGTGGCGATTTGACTTTGCATGCTCTATTGGTTTATGTTTCATCTTATACAAGTATTATTAAAGACCCCAGTTTGACATTTTGCATGTGCAAACAAGATATGTTTTTTTCAAGTGCTGCTACAATAGCTGACCGTAATAAAGAAAAGAGTTAGTGGGCGTATGATGGTATGCACGATGGTCCAAGAGCTGAATATAAAAACTTTAGGAGTTAAGGCATCATCACAACACTACGCATCATGGGAAACTGCATTCACACATTGCGATGCAAGCAGGGAAACAAAGTTAGAGATGTCTGGTTTGATGAGTCATCAACAGAGGAGAAGGCCAAGGAGTCACCGAGTCGAGAAGGGGCAGCTGAGCAGAAAAAAAGGACAAGGCGGTGCATAAAGATCACTCTTACAAGGAAGCAGCTCGAGCTGCTGCTGCTGAAACATCCACAGGGTGTTTCCTTTCAGCTCCCAGAGACTTTTGGGAGCTGCAAGCGGAAATGGAAGCCATCTTTGCAGACAATAGTAGAGGTAGACAACTTCTGAGAGTCGTTTTTTGCTGTATAGTTTTTGAATCTCGCAGTGGCTTGAAGCTGAGTAGCAGAAGGGAGATAAGTTTTTGGAACAACTCAGTCTAGTAGTTGGATTCTCCTTTGTACATTTTGTGACTGCTGATCTGTAAAGTGTTCAACTTTCTGCTCTTTTTAGTGGGTTTGTTTTTAGAAACCTATTAATGGAGAATGCCACAGTTATATCTCTGATGGTTTCTATTCAAAATCTTAAATGTGTTTTTATTTATTATTATGTAAACGAAGAAGAGAAAGTGGATGCCTTTCCATTGGATATGATGAAAAGGAAGAAACTTTGCAAAGCGATTCGATCCCTATTCTTTCATTCTTAAATTTTAAACAAAGTCTTTGTTTTGGTAATCAAGATGAAGAAAAGAGACAAAACCCATTTCCCGGACAAAGGCATCTCCAATGTCTCATCCATCAATCTTAAAATGACAATTATGTCCCTTCGCATTCTCTAAACAGTGGAGGGTGTTTACGTCTTTCCTCATAGAGTAATCATGATCAAATGGGTTAATTAATGGTAAACAAGGGGAATCTTCACAAAGCACACAGCCACTAGAAAAGGACGTGAGAACTTGCAGTTTGATCAACAAAGCCAAAGGTACCTACTTTGACATTAAAACCCATCTCAGTCTCCTTCCTATTTGCAATCATCAGAGTTTTAGTTTCAACATCCTTCATATTCTCTCTCTCTCTCTCCTCGTATTCGATCAAAAGAAAATGGAGATTCAAGCGAGGCTAATGGAATACAAGTTCCATTTCATGGTCGCAATCATCGTGAGCGTGATTATGGCGTCACTCGTGTACGCAGCACCCAGGATTCTCGACATATTAGCTTATTTCTGGCCTCTGTTTGCGTCAACGGCCGCCTTCTTGGCGATAGCAATCACCTTCGGTGGCTTTCAACAGTTTTCAGAAGAAGTTGCCGGCGAGGGAATCATGGATTACGTCGCCGGACGGCCTGAGGATTCTCACAAGTACGAATGAAAAATTTGTAACTCAAAGTCTCCATCTTTTAAGAGCTTTAACATTGTACATGATTTGGTGCACATTTATGTCAAATAAAATGCCCCTGCCTCGTTGCTTGATTGTGTAACAAATTTAAATAGATTAATAAAGACTCTGCGTAAGCAGAATATTGATGACCAGTAACAGAGTATTAATGAAGAGAACAAACTCTAAGTAGTTGATGTTGTCGTTGGTCAATCAATATCCGTAATCATAAGCGAATTCGTTGACACCAATCATGGCGGAGACAACTTGTGAGACAATAAAGAAGCTTCCACCTAAGATGATTATAATGAGAATGGCGGAGATTGGGTTCTTGAGAAGCTCGAAGATGGGCTCAAAGACGGCGGAGAGAGCTCCGGTGCTGACGGTGAGAGCGTAAAGACCGTACCTTCTCACGTTGTCCCAAAACTCTTCCATCAAAGGACCTTCTGGTCCCAAAGCCATCGCCTTCTCTGCATGCATTCCCAATACCAAAGCCATCATCAACCCTACGGAGACACCACTCACAAGAGCATATCTCTTCCATTGCTTCTCCTCCAAGCCCAAAGGTTCTGTCTTTTCAAGGCTGCTGCTTCGGCTGCTTTTCGCGGAAAATCTTCTTCTTGCTGATCCGCACCGAACACGGCATGATGTTCTGCTACTTATGCTTGAGCTCGGAAACGCATGAGCAGCTACTGCTAATGATCTGCTGCTGCTCAAATGGAGGTGAGGTTGTAGAGAAGATAAATTCATTTTGGGGAGAGACATCATCATCATCGTCTCACTTCTTCCTTGTTCGAGTCTGATTTTTTTCTTATTTACTTAAACATTTGGGTTTGGATTGTGTGGCTCTCCTTCACCTTATCTCTTTTCTCAAAAAAGGGAAGGAAATATCTGCGGATAAGTGAATCACGTTCTTCTCTATTATATAAACTACAATTGTGACAAGGTGTTGTAATTAACAAAGGGACTGTCGACAAATAACTCAATAGATCTCACACATACATACATGATACAACAGCACAAGGGTCTTAAAGCTGAGCAATACCCTTCTTCACAAGCATATCATAAACTCGGTCCACTTTGGTCGGATCAATCTTGAACAGGCTATATGCATCCGACTTCTTCGTCACATTCCCTTTAAATATCTCATGCGACATCACTTGTTGCATCTGTAGATAAACCGGCGGAACCAACTTGGCCTCGCTGCACAGACGCTTCTCCTGCAAAAAAATTCAAACAAATCTTCTTTCAGTTACAACAAAACTCATCTCAAACTTATTCCACGTGTTCAGTATCTGGACACTCACGGATTCAGACAGCAGCTGCGACTCCGTGAACCCAATCAGGTCTAAATCATTCACATAGCTTGACGATGCTTGCACAGGAGGTCGAGATCCCATTTCCCCCGGAATTTGACCAAATTGACCACTCTCTTTCCCTCTGTTCATCCCTTCTTCGTTCTCTCTCTTCCTCTTCCTCCCAAGATACCTCTCTGCTTCAGCTGTCGAGCGACACCCTGCCACTTGAGCTTCCTGCTCCGCACAATCCAACACAGGGAGTGAGCCACATCCAAACAATGAAACAACTAAAGGTGCACAGTTCGGACAGTAGAAATGTCATTACCTTGAGATCTTTAAGCCGTTTCACCATACGGTACTCGCTCACAACACTACGGAGTAGCTCGTCATGCTCTTCTTTCGAATGAAAACGCATGAAAACGTCCAAACGCCGACACTGCACTTTCTCCTCCTGAGACAGGTCCTTCTCAAAGGGATTTGGGTACAACAGGTTCCTTTCTAGTATAAATTCCTTTCTACGTTTCCTCTCATCAAGCCTGCAAATACCAGACTCACCTACATTAGCATGGGCGGTAAATAAAAGAGACCTTTTTTTTTCTCCTTGTGATCTTAAAACCTGTACCTTTTCGAATAGATACGCAACACACGCAGCTTCAGCTCATGTTCTTCAGGAGCATCGTTATCTTTGAACTCCATCTCAGCCAAGAGCTGCTCAGCATCATTGTCATATTCAGGGTCGAACTCTTCTCTCTTGTGGTTGTAATTACTCAATTCAACCAACGAGTTGTTTCCTGGGGCAACAGGTTTCTTTCCTCCAAAACTCCTGTCTGTATTTGACACTGACCACAAACACATCAACACGTAGAAAAAGGGAGAAAATATCCACCGGTATAAACACAATGACAAATATTGGGTCTTTTTGTTGGATTCTAGAATTTTGGACTTATCGAATTAGGTTCTTACTTACAAGACGTAGATAGTGATCTAGATAAAACTACTGGTGAAATCTAGAGCAAGAACAACACAACGAGAAGCACACCTATATTCGAACTAGACATAACATAGCAAAGAACTCACCTTTTTGTGTGTCTTCAACTCTGCAGGAAAATTGGATAAGAAATGAGCAAAAAGTGTAGGGAAAAAAACTGTGCAGTAACTGTGAAGAACGAGAGACATACTTGACTTTAGGAGGAGAAAACGGGTACTCTTCTTTCATGTTCTGCTCTGCTTCCAAAGAAGAAGCCACGTATAATTTCAGAATTAAGATAGCAACACTGTAGAACGAAAACATCACACAACCATCAAGCAAAGTAGCCCAGACCTTTCTTATCTTCGACACGTCCTTTTGCCATGGCTTGAAGTTCCTTTTTGTTCTTCCCTGCTACATGTGACATATCCTGGGAAATAAAAAAAGTTGTCCTTAGATATTAATACATTACAAAAAGGCTACCAATAGTACAGTGACAGATATATGTAATCAGATGGAATTAGCATACTGGAAGTGGGAAAAACGGCGAGTTCAAATAAATATTTTTGTAGTGCTCGAGACACTGTTCTTTACTCTTCGTTCCCACATGCTCTGCAACCTCTGCCCAGTTTCCCAAGCCATAAATTTCAAGTCCCTGAATTAAGAGATTACAGTTTTTAAGAAAGAAACAGAAAGAATAGGCCGTATATTAGTAAGAAGATCTTCAAAGAAGTAGTAGTACCTCAAGGAGAAGCATTTCATCATCCGCACTCCAATCCGGACAAATAAGCGGGAAAGTTAGATTTCCCTGACAAAGCAAAACCAAAACTTCACTGAGTCTTGGATGGTGAAAGTATAGAGAAAACTAGAATCTTTCTTAGTAAAACAAACTCTTTGCAGACTATAAAAAAGTAGTGATCTCTGGAAATGCAAAACTAACCATAACTCGGTAAGCGTGATCACATTTGTGAGGAGTGATCTCTGCTCCAACAGACATACATTCAACACAGAGATCGAAATCGGGACAGACAGCACATTTGATCCGAATTTTGCCAGTGATGTCTTTCTGGCAATAATCGCAGTTGTACTTCCCTCCTCCCTCCGTACCTTGAACTATCTCCACAAGAACAAAACAATTTGAGTAAACAAAAGAAGAATTTGACAGGAGAACAAGAAAGAAAAAAGGGAGCTTGATGAGAGTGTATTTGTTTACCCATAGATGTAGACTCAAAGTTCTCCACATTAGCAGCATTTTTCTTTTTCCTCGTTCTGCATCAACAACGAAACAAACACACAGATGAAGAAGATAAAGGAAGACTCTAGCTACTGAAACTTATCTAAAAGCCACGATTTTTTTTTAAGCGATTGCTCATCGTCCCAACTGGGTTATCAACGATTACTAAAGATTGCGATTCAATCAATTTTAGAAAATTTGGAGAAAGCAGAAATTGGCAATTACAAAAAAAAAAAAAGAGAATCCCACAAAACCCATATCGGGAGGAGCATACCTCTGCGTAGGATCTTCGAAATTGTGGAAGTTCCCACGAGAGCGACCCATTGATGCCGAATCAGAGAATCGGATTCAAGACCCAAACAATGTCAAGTAGAAAAAAGATCGAAGAAGGGTACTTAGGGTTTTCGCTATGAATATCGTAGGAAGAAGAAAGATCTAATCGGAATTCAACAACACTCGGACGAAAAACTGTCAGGTCGGATCTGTGATAAAACTATCGACGGTGGCCTGAGTTTCTGTTAGAACTTCCTCCGACCTGAGAAAATTTAGAGGGAGTCGACGAGAGATAAAGGAATTTCTATTTTTCTAAGTCTAAAGCCACACTGTGCTTTTAGATTTTTTTTTCGGTTTACGCGGTGACGCTTATTAGCGTATGATTAATTTAACTGCCTCTAAAATTTTAAAGAAATATTTATACTCCTTGCTAATCCACACACTAAGTCACTAATCCTAAATTTTGTGCTAATTGCTGCTAAATGGTATCGACAACAACAAAAAATTGTTTTATGTGGAGTCTCAAAAACTAATTGTAGGGACTAATGTAACTGTATTTACTAAGATTTACTTCATGTAGATTTAGGGATCAAAAATATAACTAACAAAACGAGTTTTTTTTACATGTTTCATCAATTATCTGAGATTTACTTAGACAAGAAATCGCGAGAACCCACCATTCATCTCGTGTTTTTATATTTGTATGGATTCCGACCAAGGTCCATGATCTTTTTAGTAACTTGATCATCAGAGTTCTCTCTTAGAAAATACTATATATATATATATATATATATATTAATGTTTTTTTTTGTCTTTGTTTATGCGCTAGGATTTTTTCCCTTCCAACAGTTGAAACTTGGATTCATAAATAAAACTTTTTTTTCACAAGGATCATTAGATTCATACTAATGTCAATACAACACAGAACAAGCCAAAACTTTCAAACCAAAATCTCCGGTCAAAGTAAAATTACATAAGGTTACCATGAGGCGATGAAGTCTCAGGTTTTAAGGAATTGAATTCAAAGGAAATTGCCAACTTGAGCTATAAGGAACTATTAATCGGTAGAACGAAAAATAGAGTTTTTGAAATGCAAAGCAGCAAGTGGTTAGGTTCTTAAAAGGATAGCAAAAAGAAAATTGGATAAAGTTAAAGCGTTATATGTTAGTGATGGGTTTAGCCCCCCTTGCTAAAAGCCCTTCATAAATTGAGACAAGGCCTATTTGAAGTCCTACCTCCACTTCCGAGTTTAGGTCGGTGCTCAAATATAGAAATATCCGAAGATATATTCGTATCGTGGAAGAAAAGGAAAAAAGACCCCGAGAATAAAGGAAATTATCCTAATCCCGAAGGAGAAGGATTATTCTCAAGGCGGTCTACGAAGGCTATATAAGAAGAGCTCTTTCCCTCGAAGATCAGACATTCACAACTTCCGACTCGAGACCTAGGGCAAATAATAGCTTACTGCTTCCAGTTCTAGATCTCGGTTCTTTACTCTTAAAACTTAGGTCGATGTTCTTTTCCGACGACCTAAATCTTTTGTACTCTTCGAACTCCGGCTAAATTCAATACAGCTATATCTTTTGCCTCCGCAATCTTTATATTTTCTCTTAGAGAGATATCTAGATCTTACATTATAGGAAATCGAATTAGGACAAATCCCTACATTACACATGTCATGGTCACATTATAAATCACATGTTTGATTTCATCTTTATCCAATTAATAAAGAAAAAATTGGTTCGCGTTCAAATGCCTCCTCCAGTGCAATCGCTTCCAACATGTAACTAGCTAAGTTGTAAGTAAGGTAAGTGTTTGGCTTATTGTAAGGAAAAAAAAGGAAATAAACGTTTGCAGTTAAAAAGGGAAAGTGCTTTATTTAGACACGATTCAACGCATTCTCACAGTCTTCTTCCTTCTTCGTCAATTTCAGAACAACTAACAACAGATCTGAGTTAATCAAAGCTCAGTTTTTTTTTCTCTTTCTCTTCAATCATTTAATTTCTCGGCAGCAGAACAGAAACTAGAGATTGGAGCTTAAAAAGGGCTTTTCTTCTACATTAGCAAAACCCTAAAATCAGTGTCCCAACAAGAAACACGTGATCCACCTCTTTCCTCACAAACCCCACATCTTCTAACTCCCTTGTAAGCGCCGCGATTTCAACCCCATTCCTTAATTTTGCTTGATTTTACAAAAAACCTAATTTTTTTGGTTTTATCCATTTCAATGAATGTTTTAGGAGAATCAATGGGTCTCAAGTTTTGGGAGAATCAGGAAGATCGGGCGATGGTGGAATCCACCATAGGCTCCGAAGCTTGCGACTTTTTCATCTCATCGGCTTCTTCTTCCAACACTGCCCTCACCAAGCTAGTCGCGCCGCCGAGTGATCCCAATCTTCAGCAAGGGCTACGTCACGTTGTCGAAGGCTCCGATTGGGATTACGCCCTTTTCTGGCTAGCCTCCAACGTGAACAGCTCCGATGGTTGTGTCTTGATCTGGGGAGACGGCCATTGCCGTGTCAAAAAGGGAAACTCAGGCGAGGACTATTCGCAGCAAGATGAGACCAAAAGGCGTGTGCTTCGCAAGCTTCACTTGTCCTTTGTCGGTTCAGATGAAGATCATCGTCTGGTGAAATCAGGAGCTCTCACTGATCTCGACATGTTTTATCTCGCTTCTCTCTACTTTTCCTTCAGGTGTGATTCGAACAAGTACGGTCCTGCTGGAACTTATGTCTCCGGGAAACCGCTATGGGCTGCAGATTTGCCTAGCTGCTTGAGTTATTACAGGGTTAGGTCTTTCTTAGCTAGATCTGCTGGTTTCAAGACTGTGTTGTCTGTACCGGTGAACTGTGGAGTCGTGGAGCTCGGTTCGTTGAAACTGATTCCAGAAGATAAGAGTGTGATTGAGATGGTGAAATCAGTCTTTGGTGGATCCGACTTCGTTCAGGCGAAAGAAGCTCCTAAGATCTTTGGTAGACAGCTTAGCCTCGGCGGGTCGAAACCACGGTCTATGAGTATAAACTTCTCACCGAAGATGGAGGATGACTCTGGTTTCTCCTTGGAGTCGTACGAGGTGCAAGCCATTGGAGGGTCTAATCAAGTGTACGGCTACGAGCAAGGGAAAGACGAGGCGGCATTGTATCTGACCGACGAGCAGAAGCCGAGGAAGAGAGGGAGGAAACCTGCAAACGGAAGAGAAGAGGCCTTAAACCATGTGGAAGCGGAGAGGCAGAGGAGGGAGAAGCTGAACCAGAGATTCTACGCGTTGAGAGCTGTGGTTCCTAACATCTCCAAGATGGACAAGGCCTCGCTACTCGCGGATGCGATCACGTACATCACGGATATGCAGAAGAAGATTAGGGTGTACGAAACGGAGAAGCAGATCATGAAGAGGAGGGAGAGCAATCAGATAACTCCTGCAGAGGTTGATTACCAACAGAGGCAGGACGATGCTGTGGTGAGGCTAAGCTGTCCGTTGGAGACTCATCCAGTTTCAAAAGTGATACAGACATTGAGAGAGAACGAAGTCACGCCTCATGATTCTAACGTGGCGGTCACAGAGGAAGGTGTGGTTCACACGTTCACTCTCAGGCCTCAAGGTGGCTGCACTGCTGAGCAGTTGAAGGACAAGCTTCTCGCTTCTCTCTCACAGTAATTGTTATATGTAATAGTGTCACAGTGTTGTTATTGGGGGCTGTATCAATTTACTGTTTACTAGCCAACAAAATCAAACTCCTTAGTAGGAGAGTGTAATTGTATTTTCATATCATCTTAAGATTTGTTTCTTACATTATAAAACTTAAGCAGGGAGCTTCTCAGTCATCTCCTATACATATGACTACCCAAAAAAAAAACTAGAAAAGCGATGACCAATGACCATCTTCGCTCCCTTCTCGTTCAAAACTTCAGCACCAACGTTTGTTACCAGTTGTTGAGCTGCGCCGTAACGCTTTTCACGACCGGATGGTACTGAGTGTGCATGTACTTCTTCGCCTCGTTGGAACCAGGCTCGTTAAGCCACTCATCGTATAGTCTCTTAGCTATTGGATTCTGGAATGGATCTGTACTCAAAACCTGGATCGAACAAGTCATGTTATTAGTAGTAGCAGCTTAGTTTAAAAAAGTAAGAAAGTATAATAAGACTGCAGGGAAAACTTACAGTATCATTCATGTAAGTAGCTTCAAGTGAGTGGATCAGTTGTTTCTGAGTCTGCCCTATCTTTGGCTTGATCTGCCCACCACCATTTAGGCAACCTATTCAGATCAAAGCATTTTCGGGGGATTCGTTAATACACAACAAAGAAAGTTACTTTTTTTTTTCAACTTAGGATTTTGCAAAGTAGAGAAGATGAACCTGCAGGGCACGCCATAATCTCTACATACTGATAATCGCATTTGTGCGTTTTCACCCTCCGAACGATATTCTGAAGGTTCTGGAAACCGTAACACAGCGCAAACTTCAACACTGTTTTACCTTCCACCTTCGAGAGATAAAAGAAGAAGAACATGAGACATACGAGGGGGACTAAAACTGTTGTTTTATGGTCTGTCTAGGAACTTACTTGAAGAGTTAGTTCACGGAAATCAGAGTTTCTGAGAGTTTTAAATTCAAGAGGACCTTCAATAGTTTGTCCAAATAGTGCTTTTGCCGCATGTCTGAATATTGTCTCCGCGTAACCACCAGAACCACCAGCTACACCGTAAAGATGTCCTTCCTCATTAACATTCGTCAGCCTGTTTTCGACATGGAAAATTGAATAATGTTTACTTCACAATTCACATGAAAATCCATTCACCCTGAAGCAAAGAAATAAAATAATGATCCGTTCTTACAATCTGTCGAGTGGAGACTCCTCCAGATCTTTAAAGTCGACTCCTTTCAACTGCAAGACACATATAAATAATTCAGAAACAGATTCACACTCTCTGCAAGATGGAGGCAAAAGTACAACAAAAAACAGGGATTTAATCTTTATCACCTTTATTAAATCCATAATTTCACCAGTTGTTAGCACGGAATCAACCTCAGTCAGATTATCTTCAAAGACGAAATCGTCTCTGGATGCCTCGAGCTTCTTATCGTAGCAGGGCATCACAGTCACATGGTAAATCTCCTCCAGCCTAGTTCCATGACATATGGTCACATTTAAATCCGAAAGCGTAGGAAAAAACAACCAAATGAAATGATAACCAAAGCTTCAAGAGTACCTGAGTCCCAACGCTTGACACAGATGGTGTTTGATCAAAGCTCCAATAGTTTGCTGAGGACTCTTAACAGAAGATACATACGGCAGAACAAACGAGCCAAGCTGCTTTTCAGCATAACATATCCATCCTTTGATTCAACAAAGAACTTTGCACATTACTCTCACATGGCACAGTCACATTCGATTAAGTCAAAGTAGGTGAAGTTGGCTTACCAGGACAGGCGGAGGAAATCACAGGGAGAGGGGACTTAGGATTTTCACCATCTTCAGAATTAGCTTGCTTGTAACGGTTCACAAACTCATTACAAGCTTCAATAAGCACCAAGTCTCTGCTGCAGCTTGTATCAAACACAGCTTTAACTCCCAGGGACTTCAAAAACGTAGTCAGCTTCTTGAAAACCTGAAGAGGAGAGATGTCATAGTGAACCGCAAGCGAGGCTCTCGACTGTTGGGAAATAGACATGACCACGTCCTTGCTTTTGCTAAGAGCAGAGAGGAACTCTTCTAAGCTTTGCTTCTCAAGCATAACTGTCTCAGCTGATGTGATGCATCCACTGAATCCAAAATGGAGACTCACTTTACACTCTAAAAGTCTATACTAAATCAGGAGCACTAAGAGAGAGAAACTGACCTGCAAGCCAAGCAATCCTTAAGAGAAATTTTGACTGGTTCCATAAGCTGTTTTGGAGTAATCAAAACCTTCAAGAACAAAATCAGCACAAAGAAGCAAACTTTTTAGTTGGTGAAGGTACAAATATATATACATATATATAGGCTTCACATCAAAAGTGGTAAGATGAAAAGAACTGCTTGAAGAAGCAATGAGATTCAACAAAAGTAAACGAAAAAAAAATCTTGGGAAAAGCTTAGAAATTTCGGACCTGGGGTCGGTCAGGCTTCTTGTCGACGGTTTTTTTGGTACCCTTGAGGGACACAACACATGCTTGAGACTGAGAAATGAAATCGTTGAGATCTCCGAGCCTCAAAGTCGGTGAGAATTTCTCCGCCATAACTAATTCGCTTTCTATTCAAAACTTTTTCAATTTTCAAACTTTGTGAGGCGAAGAAAGTAGCAGAACCAAAATAAAGTGGGCTTGGAGTCGGAGAAGCTGAGGATTAGAACGGCGTTGAAAGGTTTTTCCTTTCTCCTCTGGTTTCAAGTTTCCAACCTGGGTTAGATCAATAGTTTCAATACGATGAACGAGAGAGACGAAGAAGTATAAAATGGCTTAACCTAAAAGGGTTTTAATAGTCAAAAACGTTAAGGACATGCCAATCTTATAATAATCTTATTATGGAGGGGCCTAAATATAATAATTATAATTTGTAGGTCGGTGTAAGAAGAAACACAAGATAAAAAAAGGATATGCTCTTACCTAAAAACACACAGTTTTGTTTTGATTACAGCAGATATCACATTGATACAGAGAACATTAGGTCCATTTCTACATATAAGTTTGTCACAAAAGAACATAATCATCATCTTAACACAAGGAAGAAGAAGAAGAAGAAGAAGAAGAAGAAGAAGAAGAAGAAGAAGAAGAAGATTTACGAAACACAAACCAAAAGGCCTACACTTTTTTAATGTTTATCAATGACAACATTCCCAACACTACTAAAGACAAACAAAGGAGGCGTCTTTCACTTCACAGCGGCGGCTTCGTTCGGCGGTCTTTGGATGGCGCCGTACAAGCGGAAGAGACTAAAAGCAGAGATGCAAGAGACGAGAACCATAGCAATGGATGCAAGCAAAGCGACGGCGACTCCTTCACCCATTCGGTTGCAGAACTTTCCATACATGTTGCATAACTTCATCCATTGCAGCTTCTGCTCTCCTTTCCTACCAATCACACCAGACTCTGTTGCTGCTGCTATTGCCGCCACACTCAAGTACGCCATCGCCTGCAACATTCACACCCTTTTAAATGCCAACGAGACCTCGTCCCCCAGTTTCAAATGTTTGAATACAAACAAGCAACATTCCTACCTAAGAATATTCAATTTTTCCACCCATCTCATATCTAACCATTAAATGCTCTTGTAGACTTTTCAACATAGCAAACCCTACTTTCCCTAATTTGACTTGAGCCGACCATGTTAGATTTAGATATCAAAAACGACAGAGCCAAACCCACAAATCTCACAGCTAATTCGCTAATTCTAGAAACGAAATGTACTTGAGGAACACACAGACTAGTAGACTCAAATCACCTGATCTCCGGAGAAAATGGCCCAAGCTAGAGTCTTGCTGACCAAAACGCTTCCTTTCATCGTACCCACCACGCAACGAACAGACTGCAACAATGAATAAGCCGCAGCTATCCCATTGGCGACCACCAAGAACCTGCATCCCACAAGAACAAACCCAAAAAGTTGCGAATTTTACTTATCTATTGGATTACTAAAACTGAAAAAGAAATGTTTTTTTCTGTCCATGAACTAACACAAGAGCCTTCATGTCGGTGTACTTGGCCGTCTTCTCAATTGTGAAGATATGCTTAACCTGAGTGTCTGTAACAACCACAATAAGCGCGATGAGAGCGAGTACAGTGACGGAGCAGCGTAGGAGCAGCTCCGTTAGCCTCAGTCTCCGATCAATCAGCTTCATCTTGCCTCCGTGGTAGACGGTGATGTTTCCCGGACTGACTCCGACCCCCAAATAACTCATTTTGTACCCTTAAAGTTCCGATTTTGGACAAGTACAGACTAGAGAGTGAGAGACAGAGGAGAGAGAGAGAGAGTGACCATTTTGGTTGAAGAGTTAAAAGGCCTTTAAATAGAGATGCTCAATGTCCCACGTTATTTTATTAACTTTTGCACATTGATGAAATCAAATCACCAAATTAAGGATTTTTTTTTCTTTTTTCTAATACTACAATTCTTGTCTTTGTTTTTGTCAACTGCTAATACTTCCTGTCTAAACTACTGATCATCACATTGATTGAGACACAGAAACGTATAGTCCCAATATCTGCCAAGTGGAAGTAAATCTCTTGTAACTTGTATGCGTTACGTATTTAGAGATGCATTTAATTGAAATGTGGGTAATAATCAGTTAATCACAATACCCAAAACACATTAGGTTTTGGGGCATTTAAGGGCTCCCTCTATTAAGACGAAAGTGAAACATCAATGACCTTTAGGATCACTTAAATTACGATGCTCCATGTTTTGTCTTTTAATGTTCTAGGAAACTGGAAAAGAAATTAAAGAAGAAGATTAATATCCTGAGGAGATCTTTTTTTTTTGAAATTATTATTAAGATGACTTTGAATGGCCACACACACATACACACATAACACAATATTAAATGAACACCATTTTTACTCTTCTTCTTATTTATTGCCCTTCCCTTCTCCCAAAGTCCCAATTAGTAGTCTCCAAGTAACCAAACCCATTTTGGGGTTTCATCTCATTAACTCTTACATATTGGAAACATCTTAAAGTACCACGCGTCTTTTGATTATCTGAAGTCGCTGTTCAAAGATAAAAAATTGACAACACGTAGAGGAATGGAGACGATGTGCTGTATATTGTAATGTTACATCTATGTAAACCGAACCACTTGTTAATTGTAAAGATCCAACACAAAACCGGAGAATAAGATTCATACAATGTACAAAAAATGTAAAAGGTAGATGAGTAAAAAAGCACAATTCTGCCACAATCGTCTCCTAAAACGCTACAACTTTAAAAAACCAAACATTAATCTCCAGGACTTTTGATTTAGAACTCCACGAACCTACACACGTATTTGCTCACTCTGGTTGAGAGTATCAGCCACGGTATGATCCCAACCTACATTTTCACCAAACCGACACACTCACTATCACATTCACAGCCCAAAGAAATGGATTCAGAAGGAAAGAGAAGAAGGAGCCTACCATCACATGGCCTGTCAAATGACCTCCCGTTCCCCAAGATAGCAATTTCCCTGACAAACACACCAAATTCAGCTTCTTTTACCTATGTTGTACCCAATTGTATGATATAGCTCAAAGACATCTTTATCTGGTAAAATTCTCACTACTCACCAAACGGTTGAACAAGCTGCTTAGCAATAATGGCGATTGGAGTCCTCCAGAACCAAAATACTAAGATTAGGTATACCACAACCTAGAGACAAAGTTCTTAGCACATCTCAATCAAAGAGTTTTAGAAAGAAAGAAAACAAAATAAGAAACTTGATCACACCACTTAAGTTACCTTTGAAGCAAGCAAAACCTTTCCATACAGATCGTATGACAGGTTAACTTCTTTGTTATGCTGCTCCAAATCTGTATTTCACAAAGAGTATTAGCAGAAGATAACACACATACACAAGACCATGGTGATGCCGTACTCAAGTTGGTATATATCTGCCACCAGATTGTATTCATTTCTCAAGCTAACTAGCAAAATAATTGCAGCATCATCAATGTAGAACTAATATGTATGCATATACTCACATTGTGCAAGTTCTTTCTCTTTCGTAGCTGCCGACCTTCTAAGTTTCGCCGCTTGCGCAAACGTGGCTGGCCTGAGAGAGTGAACCAATAGAACAAATCTCTGATCAACAAAACTCACATAGATTTTTTAGCGTCTGATAAAAAAAAAAGATGGCTACAAAGCTGCTTACTGAGACAATGCACTGGCCTCTCTCAAAAGCTGCTTAATTTCGGATCGCAGCTCTGCTTCCCTCGTGTTCTTTGACCCTTTCTGGATAAAATTTCAAGAAGAAAGTGAGCTCAAATTGATTTATTCAGACGGACGTGAAAACGCCAAAAAGGTTTCGTTTTTCGAATTACCTTCTTCAATTGGTCGAGCCACTTAGATAGCATCTGGAAGACGACGACGACGAAGAATATCAGAGGAGCGGCCAAAAAGCCGCGATCTTCTATCAGATTCTCTCCTTCCATTAACCCTTCTGAATTCTGATGGTAATATTAGCAATCCGCTAAACCCAAAATCGAAACAATGTTTCTATAATCAGTGATCTTTCTCTTAATCTTAAATTGAAATCCGAAAATTGAAAAGCCTAATTGGATCCCGTCATATTCTGGATAAACAAATAATCTGATCTATATAGATTGCGCGACGAGGAAGAAAAGATTTCGAGATTCTCCTGAATGAATTCTGCGATAAATCGGAACTTACACTCTCCGTCGTGGATTCCCAGAATTTATGCGCTCAAGTGGAGGAGCTCATACATATGGATACGAGGTTAACGTCTGAATTTGGAGGATTGAAACTTGAGAAGAAGATGGTTTAGAGTTTACAAATAAAAGTATTAGACACTCTTTGTTTCCATAAACAAAACTCAAGCCCTTAAAGAGTAAAAACGATAACTAAGGAGTTTAACCTTGTTCAACAGGCTTTTTCAGGCCTGTTATAAAATCATAATCTGAGCCTAAAATTAGAATCGGCCCATTATATTAAGCCTTGTTCAATTGCTTGTTGGAGTTTTCCTATATTAAGCCTATGTAGTGTGTGAATTACATGTGAGAAAAGTACAAGGCAACGAGTTTGTCTTTGATTTTTGGTTAATACTAACTTTTTAAAGACTGTAAGTGATATTAGATGGAGCCTTTAGTCCAGATCGTTGGATAGTTGTCGAAGTCCTACCATCTTCTAGAGTCGACCTAGAATTTATCTTATAGTTGGTTTGAAAGCATCAGTGGAAAGAAAAGAGATTACAAAACATTTCAAGCCTAAAAAAGGCTTATTATAACTTAGATATTTCTCAAAAAAGTGAGCACATGTGTTATGAGACTGTCAGACTGAAATAATAAAAAAGCGTACGTGTAATGTTATTAAATATGATTGGAAACATTTGGTTGTGTTTGTGAGAGGTTCTACTCGCGCTTAGCATTTTGTTGCTCATAATAGGAATGTATTTTATTGAATGCTATATATTGGTTAGTGTAGAACTATGGTGTGTCTTAGTGTTCAGTAATTGTAATTAGGCGCTTGTGATTGTTACTATATGGTTTGTGCATTGCTAAACCTCGTCAAATATTTGGTGTGTTCATATCATATTTCACATGTACTTCCATCCATGTATATCGGAGTATATATGATGGGCTGTAGTCTTGATAATTGATCCAATTAAAAGATCCAATAATGAATTCAAATGTTGATATGAAAACAATCATATACGTAGCGAAAATGTTGGATCGTAAGGACAAGAAGAGAAAAGATTGGTATCCAAAGTTAGAAAGTCTAGGGTAAAAAAGAGAGCCAAAAAGTACAACATGGAGGGTGAAATATAAAAAAAGAAATGTTAAAATTTAATTGTGACATATTACTTTTACGTGGGAGTGGTTGTAATGGGAGTAGAAGAAAATAGGCACGCGTTGTCTCTAATCTCTCTCAACTAATCTAAAGACATTTTATGTTTTGTCTCATCCGATCCCCTCCACTTATAATTATAATTATGTTTTAAACCATCTATCTAATTGGGTTTATCATCAAATCAGAGCATTATCGATAAGTTCGCAGATACCGAAGCAGAAAACAATAAAGAGAGAAACAATGTAAATCCAAATCCTAAACGTCGTAGCATCTTCAGCTTTGGTGTATGCATGCCATTACATTCCATTTACTTCCGGACAAACTTTTTGCTCCCACCACTTTTGATGTGCCTCTCAGACTTTACATCCTTATGTCCACACCTCTCTTTTCAAACCGGCCCTCTCCATTTCTTAGCTTATACTGTCTCGCTTCTTTTGTTAGAGACTGTTACAATCATTTTTATTCGAATTAACTCAAAAGCAAGAGAGATACATTGTGAGCTGGTGGATATAATATACGTTTTACTTTTGTGACATGAAAAAATAGTAATTCTTGACCTAAAATGTACGTATAATAATGTTAATGTACATGCATGGATGTTTTTTCGTCATGGGAAGGGAGCTTAGAGTAGCATTTCGATCGAGAGAGAAAACGAGGAGATCGAGAGAGAATGTCTTTGGGTATAAACGAGTGGTCTTTTTCACAATTATTTATCAATCAAACCACATCCTATAACCTATTGATATCATTATTCTCTACCCTTGAAACTCCTTTTGTCTTTTTATCAGTAGATAGGCCCACTTTTTATATACTTTTTCCCCCCTGCCAAATCATAAGAAGTTAAAACATTAAAAGTGGATCAACTAATTTATAGAAACCATTAACAACTTTTGACACTCTTCTTAAAAGTGTGTTTCATTTTAAACTGTATGCCAATTAATATAACTTTAAATTCCACCGAGAAGATTTGATGTGGAGACAAAGAAGTGGCTCCATTTCACCATCTCCCAAGCCACCAAAATCTCTCCTAAACCCTTTTGTCACTCCCTTTTCTTATTCACTTTTTTCCCCCAGGAATAGTAAAATCTCATTTGAGTTTCTTGAATATAGAATTTATGAATATATTATACAGGCTTTTAATTAGTCTTTCCCCTTGCATTACGTCTGCATGGTTGATTTTTTTGTACTTAACCTTGGAAAAACACGGTTGAAACATTTGTTATGTACTCGATCAACTCAATCATTAACAAGAAAATTATATATCTAATTTATATTCAATTAAAGCAGTAACAAGACAATTATATATGTAATGTAGATTAGTGGGAAAAATAAAGTTTCCATTAAGAAAAGAGAACCCCTTAGGGGGAGGTAATTAGTGGGAAGCATGAAAGAAATGGGTTTATATATATATAACAATAATCATCCAAACAAACCAATCCATGTGCTTCCCTTCAAACATTCTTCTTGTCATTTTCCTCTCAACCATCTTCTACTTTGGCCAACTTTTTTTGGTTACTTAAAAAAAAAAAAAATTCAAATATGCAAATCTCTCCACTCACAGATTATACATTCTCTTTTTACAATCCTTAGATTGTCCCTTTTGCCTTCTTCCTCTTGTTCTCTTCCCACTTTACTCCTGATTCTCTTCCTTCCGGAATTTCATCGAACTACTCAACAACCCTATATATCATTTTAATTTTTTTATAATTTTTTCCATGCAGATTAAATAATAGAAAATATCGACCTTTTTCCTCCGTATATAAATAGACACAACACACGTAACATGGCCCCAAACCCTATAGCAACAAACTCTCCACGACTCATATCATTACTATTATTATTATACTCTGTACGTACGTCATGAGTTCAATAGCAAGAGACAGAAAGGAACAAATGGTAATCCAGTCCTCGATCGTCTTGCTTCAAGAAAGATTCAGACAACTTCAGAGAGCGCGAGAGTTAAGAGCTGAGCGAGAGCTCCTAAACCCTAAACCTAGCCACCAAGACAACAACATCTTAAAATATTACAGCGAGCCCACGAGTTTCGGTTTCTTCCAGTTTCTACCTCTAAACTCTCAAACATCCTCCTCACAGCAGCTCCTCTCCCTCTCCTTATCCGCGCACTCATCCTCTGACTCCATTGAAAAGCCAAGCTTATGTCATCACTGGCCAAATAAAGACGACAAGAAGATCGGTGGGTTTGATCGATACGACGATGTTGATACTTCTCTGCGTCTCTAAAGTCATGAAACTGCTCCTCCATCTTTTTTGTTTTGTTTTAAATTTATAAATATGTATGTATAAACCTTTTTTTGGGATCGGTATGGTATGATCTTTTAAGGAGTCCTGTAGGTGCTGGTGATATGTATGGTTCAAATGCGATCATATATAATATTTAATTATTTCGAAGTTAATGGTTATGAATTATATATGATGATATGTTTTATATTACGATGATAACGATCTACTCACTTGTTATTGGTTCTTGTTTTTGGATTGTTACCTTAAGTCGATCTATTTATACTTATACGTATCCATGTAAATGTTCAGTCTTTCTATTTTTTATATATGTACTTATAAATTAACTTCAGCCAAAAATAGGCATCGTAAGGGAGACATACCTGAAACTTGATTTCATTTGGATTCCGCTTGCGCATGTTCAAATCCTGCTTTTGCTTTTGACGATTTTTTTTTAAGAAATAAATAATTGTTCATACAAGTCATGATAAAAAGAAAAAAGATTGTCAATCACAGTCAAAACTTATCTGCATGTATTTGAGTCAGTACTCTTGAATATGTCAGTAATAATGAGAGAGAGATAGAAACTGTAGTGCCATTCAATCATAGATTTTTAATAGAATATAAATTCATACAAATTTCATCGTTATTTAACAGTTGATTATAAGTTATATACAGTTACATTTAGTATCATTGGACCTTATCTTTGCAAATTATGTTTAGAAATTTTAAAATTCGGTGCTATATATTGTTGGTTCCAACTTGGAACTTCCAAATGACAATTAGCAAAAGTATATATGGTTTGGTATAATCTCTTAGTAAATTGAAGGCTTTAGCGACTGGTTTTATCTTGAAAATTATACAACATAAGAAGTTAACTTCATACTATTGATCGAATAGTAAAAAGTAAAAACAGTTGTTTGATTAATTTACGTTTTAGATCAATCGCTCGCTACTCATGACGTGATTAGTTAAGATCCAGAAGATTAGAATGAAGTGAAATGAAGTGAATGAAGCAAATAATGATGTTTTCTATGACTAAAGAACAGTGGTTTCAAACAACTGTTCCTAAATGGGCCCATTCGTCTGTTCCGAGAAAGAGTTCAAGAGCCCAACAAAGAATTTTATGGGTTCGAGAGAGCCTCTAGACGAAGTGGAGGCTCTGACTCTCCCTGCATTTGTTGGAAATTGAGTAACCTAAGAGAGAGATTGATCGGAATCAGAAGAAGAAGGAGAAGAAGATAGATTCAGCGCGGAGAGTCGTCGATTATCGAAGATGAACACTGACATCACTGCCTTGGAGAAGCCCCAATACCCTGTCGTTGATCGGAACCCTCCATTTACTAAGGTCGTCGGAAACTTCAGCGTCCTCGATTACCTCCGTTTCTCTACCATCACCGGCATTTCAGTCACCGTCGGCTATCTATCTGGTCCACCCTTTCTCTCTTTCTCTATTGAAATTTTTGCTTCTATAGATATTCAATTTGTTGGAGTTGCGTGAGAAATGTGCTGATCGGTGTGAATTTTGGATTTGGCGATCTGTAGGGATTAAGCCTGGGATTAAGGGACCTTCAATGGTAACTGGAGGACTGATCGGACTCATGGGTGGTTTCATGTATGCATACCAGAACTCGGCGGGTCGACTCATGGGTTTTTTCCCCAACGACGGTGAGGTCTCGAGTCACCAGAAACGTGGTGGTTTCAACAAATGATGGATGACTCCTAGGTTTTTCCCTAGATCTGGGCTTCATCCTTTTGCTGCTTCTAGAATTTGAAAACCCTCTTTTTTTCCTGTAATTGGATTGATTCTCTCTGCTACTACTGCTCTTTGAGGATTTGTTTCCCTCTCTGTTTGTCTGTTATGACTTATGATCAATAAAGACTTGAGCTTGCTCGAAAATATGTTAAAACGGTTTGAGGATTCTGTACTTCTGCAATCAGATTACTCTGATAAGATCCTCTTGGTATGTTATATGTAGTGTAGTGTAGTGTGTGTGTCAGTATTGCAGAGTGGTGTGTATCAGTAGTGTCAACGACATTCCAGATGAACAAGCTACAGCTGCATTGTGAGTCTCACGATGGTCTTTAGCCTCTAGGATTGGAATTGTAACTGGAGTAATAAAGAGTCTTTGAGGTGAGCAAGCAGATGTGGTAGCTTCAACCCATGTGGTTTGCTTAGTGATATTTGGTTAGTTTGTTGTGCAGCTTTTGCAGAGAGGATGATGTATCAACGGGTATGAAGTGAGAGAGTCGATCTAATTGATTCTGCTCTCCGAGACCTTTTCTAATGATTAAAAAAAACCACTTTTGCTCTCAATTCTTCTCTCCATCTCAACTGTGTTTGATTTCTTCTTTCATGTCATGAGACTCATGACTATGTCTCTTTAACTCAACGTTCAACCCAATAAAGTACAATTGGCTCAAGTATTAGAAAAAAGTATGTTAATGCTTTTGGACTTCTATTCGGGTTTAATCTATCATACTTAGTTAGCTATGTGATGGGTTGGATTTTTGTTTTTGCTGGTTATGACGAGCCAATCGTCTAAACTCGTCCCATCGTCATACTTTCATCGATTGTAGACTTGAAATAGATTTTGCGTTGTGCATGCACACCTTTACAATGAAATGAAAGTCCATGTAAGCACCATATTGTAGTCTTCGGGTCGCTCTTTTCAGCTTCTAACCCGATTAAGTTACCTACTCGTGTTCTAGGGTGAACCTTACTGATATATCACTCAAATGGGGGGTCTATATCCCAAGTTGTAAAAAAGAAAAAATCTACTCATAATCAATAAGTAAATACTATGATTGAGATTCAAATAAACCATCCAACAAAAGGCTCCCAAAAGAATGTTTGATTAATGTAATGCGACAACACAAACCAATAGAAAGCATTGGCAACACTTGTGTCAAAGCAACATACAGAAAAACAACACCAAACACCAATTATGAGTCATAGTCCTTTTATCTACTTCCAAAACATGTCATTCAATGTCCAAGGACCGAGTTTCTTGAGTAATTTCCTCTCATATTTGTTGCACCTCATTTCTTGAGTAGTTTCCTCCCACATCTGTTGCACCTCATGAACGAATTATTCTTGTTTATATAGCAAAATAACTCATTTTGCATTATCACAAAAGAGTTAGATATAATTTCCATTAAAATATCTCAAAACAACAACTGCCACATGATAATTTTCCATTTCCAAAACATATTACGCCACATAATTTACTTAGCAACACCCATAGACTTAGAACATTAGTGATTGTATCCCTAAATAGGCTCTACTATTCCGTGTGTTGGGGGTATACAACTACTAAATTAATCAATTGCAACTTGATAACAATTTTAAACAATCACAAATAAATGATTTGTGAATATAAAAATGATTGAAACAAAACAAAACCACATCGTTGGTGCTTCTGGTCAAAATGAAAGATGTTTACTATGACATATAGTTGCATGATATTTTCTCATCAAAACCAAGACATTATATCGATTTCTTGTTGCACATGTTTCGTGCGAATCGCCATAAATCCTAACAAATTGAATAGCTTGTTGAATGATTCTATCCAAACCCGAGTGATATCTTTCTGTATTTCTTAAGAAGCTTTCTAAGGACTTGGTGGCAATAAAACAGCTCACAAATGAGATCAAATCATCAGATATCTTATCAATTATCTTTGAACCTTTCTTAATCATGTTTTGAAACTGCTTAAACTTTTCACGATTTAGAAATAATAATATATTGCAGTGAAATGATGATGTAGAAGATTAATTCAGAGTCTCATATACCTCTTGATCGATTGAGATAGTTGCTTGAATCAGTTTCAAAACTTAATATTGTATTGACTCTATTATAAGTTTGGCATCGAATGTCACCTTCACAGAAATCTGATCACTTTATATGGTAGAGAGATACATATAGAACATATGATGAAAATAATGAAATTCACCCCTACTAGTACCTTATACAAGTCTTTGAATGGAATTGTGCATTCGTTTGGACACGGTAGTTCAAAAGATGCACTATCTGTATTTGGTATGATTGTGAAACTAGGTTTAGGTTATCCTACTGAATCGAAAATAGTTGGGCTTCTAGTTGCTCTTAAGAATCATGGGTGGGCAGATATTTGGAAGATACAACGCTGGAGATAATGTACTCAAGCATATGAATCATTACGAAATTCCACTAGTGCCAAGAATAGGTGACTTCTAGGCTGCAAATGGAATTATATCTAGGGCACTTGAGACACTCATTTGTCTGCCAAAGATCGATATATAGCATAGCCATAACTTCATTTTAGAGTGGATGTGCAACGTAGGAAGATATGAAATCAACTTTTAGAGTTGTTCGCCACCTTGAGAAGAAAAATGTGGGATATACTATAAACGAAGCATTATTTTAACAAACTCACATTTTTGAAGTTATGAACAAAAAACACGGATACTCGCCTAGTTCATTGAAAATGCAGATTTAGAATTACTAAAAAAAATGTAATTAATTCAGAATTACTAATTTATATTTTCTTAAATCATATGAAGTACAAATATCAAATATCAAATACAATTTATTTTTTATTTATATGAAAAAGTACACTCGTCTAATTTATGAAAAAGGCCAAATATATCCAGAAAACATTTAATAAAAAAATGGAATGGACCAAGCTTATACTAGCAAATATAAAATGTACTGTAATATGGAAGGTCATAAAATCAGAGTTATATGATAAGCGGTTGATTAAAAATTTAATCGAATAAAAAAAAATCATAATTAACAGGCAAAATTTTGTTGGGAGAAAACGTTCGTCGAATCATCCTCATCCCTTATCGCCGTCGCTTCAAACTCGGTGACGTATGTTCAGGTCAGTTTGTTGAATCTTTCTCGCATCGGTTTTCGTAATTCCTTTGTCAATTTCGGAATCATCACACACAAACAGTGGCTTTGTAGTTTCTCATCCACTCTCGCGTCACGGGTTCGCGAGTGCATGCCCCGTAACGATTTCGGAGATTTTTTTGTTCGCCTTATAAGATTTGTTCTTCCCTGTGATTTTGCCGAAATTAGGGCTCGTGGGTTCTAAAAACGTGTTTGTCAAGTAGTAATGAGGCTAGGGTTTATTCGTTCCACAGATCAACACGCAAATGTGGATCCTTTTTATTCTTTTGGCCGGTCATGAATTTTTTTGGAATTTTCACTTGTGTCCATCACAATCAATCATGATAATAATTATAATCTCAAATGAATGTATGAGTAGATACAGCGAGTGATAGAATGGAGGAAGAGGGAGTGGAATCGAGGAGAAGTAGGAAGGAGCAAGAAAGGGAGAGGCGTCGTCTAAGAGACAGAGAAAGAAGACAATCTATGAGCCAAGAGGAGAGGGAGAGGCATTTGGCTCGGCGCCGCAAAAACTACCAGCTTCGAAGGCAGAGAGCTGAGATTGGCCGTATCGGCTCACAGGTCCAAGCTATAACCGGAGGGAACCAAGAAGCACCACCGACCTCACCTCCTGATTCCGGAACCAGCAGTACTCTCCCGTTCGTTGAGTCTGATCAGAGTAAAGAGATTGATCGTTATCTACATTACAGGAAATATAAAATCCTTGTGAAAATGTTATCATCATATGATGGTGTTTTGGGGACATGTAGGTGTGGGAATACAAGTGGAGGATATGGCTAAACTGATGGGGACAATACGGCTTAGCCGAATGAAACATCTTGCGAGGACATTGAGAAAGTCTAGTGCTACTACTGGTGCAGAGGCAAGCAACAAAGGAGAAACAGACGCAAAGACAAGACGTAATTAAAGCTATATAGCTAATGAACTCATAATACAATTTCATTAGAGAGATCTTGATGTGTGATTGGGGAATTGGGCAGGTGCAATGTTGAGTGGGCTACGTCTTAGTCGAGTGAAACGACTGGTGAGATCAAAGGGCAAGCAGGAGGTGTTGTTGTTGTCACAACAATGTCAATCACAAGGTATTCGTTATTAATTCACTTACACGAATGATTTGAAAAGTGTGTTTGATATTGATGATTACAACATCAGTCACGTTTTGTTCTTGATCTCTCCTGTATCAATTAGCCTCCTCCACAAATCTTACAATCATATAGTTTACTAACTGCTTCTCTTCTTCTTTTTGTGTGTAATCAACAGGACTTCAATATGTTGAACGAGAGCCTCATATCAATTAGTGTACTACTGTCTGTTTGTAAAAGCGAACCCATCATTTTTGTTTGGAGACAAATCTCTTGGAAACTCACCATTTTTTTTTTACATTTTTCAAATACAAGTGGGGAATACATTACATACTTCAGCCTTGTATTTGTCGCAGTCGTTTCCTTTCCCACAATGATCCATTTGTGTATCAAAAGAAGAAACGAGAGATGAGATGTCGACGCTAGAGACAAAAAAATGAAAAAGAGATTAAAAATATATTTCTTGTTGACTTTTACTGTAAAACAAATCAGTGTGTTGCTGCTCGGAGTTCTTCACCATTACGAGTTGTTAAGGTAACTTCAAGCTTTATCAATGTTGAGTTTTTGCAACAACACAAGTGCCACTATATAGATATTCAAATATATCACAAAATGAGTCGACCAAAAAAAGGATTGGTAGTACAAATAATTCTTATGTGCTAAACTTTGCATCCATTTCGTGGCTGTCACACGCACAGCCACTATATTGAAAGATCTATTTACTGTTTGGTAGATACACTTAACAAGTTGCTTTCATAGCTCAGTTGGTTAGAGCACCCGTTTAGTAAGCGGGAGGTCCTGAGTTCAACTCTCAGTGAAAGCATCTTTTTATTTTTCGTTCCGTTTATGGGCTGTATTTCGAACGGGCCCATTCTTTATTTTGGGTTGGGTTATTAACCAAATTCGAGTTTCAAATCACATAATTAGGGTTTTCCGCCGTATCTCTTATAAATAGGACTGCGCAGATTATTCTAAAATTCATCATCATCTTCGTTTAACTCTTTTCTCCTTTATCAATTTCGTTTCCATTGCAATTCGATTTCGTCTCTCGTGTTCCCTGTTTATGAATATATATACGTGACGCGATTTTCTCTCCAAGAAATCGGTTACTTGAGAAGGGGCAATGTAAAATTCTGTTGTTGCATAACCCTAAAAGTAAACGTCACAAATGAAACAAAAAACGGCAGCTGAAGGCGTAGAAGGAGTCTCCTCTATAAAAGGGGCTTCTCCGTCGGAAGCATCGCCGTAAAGGTCTCATATTCCATTGCCCTGCGGAGCGGCGTTGCTGCATTTACCGTTTTGGTCGGCCATGACATCTACATTCTCCGTTATCCCCCTTTATAATTTTATTTGTCTCCTTTGTTATGTTTGCCTGTGAAGAGATGAGATTCACAAAAGATCACCATCTTTCGGGACTGATTAACTTGTGGTGAAACTTATCCAATTCTGAGGTTTTTGTTTTCGTCTATCAAATTATTACTTTTTTTTTTTTTTTGGCAGTGATGAGAAATTCGAGAATGCCATGCACCACTCTGATATCTGTGCTGAGAATTTTCTCTACCCAATATTTCTCTGAGCCCTCTCTTTTTTTTATACAATTTTCTTGGATTGCTCTGTTTTAAGTTTTTTGTGATTAATGAATATCATCTCTAATGGTGTGTGAGAGACGGCTGTGATGACTCGGATATTTCAAGCTCAACAGACCGGAATTAGGCGTTTCTTTCATTTTTTGGAGATTCGTTTCTGTGTCGATAACCCCGCTGATCTGAGCCTTCTCACATTTCTAAAGCTAAAATTAATCAAAAAAATTTTATCGGCGACGGATTTCACTAAGTTTGACATTCGGGTGAAGAAGGGATTGCAACATTTAAATTTGACATTCGGATGAAGAAAAGATTGCAACATTTAAATTTGACATTCGGATGAAGAAGGGATTGCAACATTTAGGACATAATGACATGCATACATTAGAATTGAGCCTTGCTTGGTCGGCGAATCTAAGAATTGAGCTGTCCTTGTAATATCACCAATCTAAACAGGTAGAACGAACATTTTGGAACAAAAGCTTCTTAGTCGGGAATTGGTATCACCATTTTGAATTTGAATTCATGTTTGTCATATCTAATGGTATTTAGTATGCGAATTAACCTAAGAAAGTGATAAATTATTAAACCGATGATAATTTACTTAAGTAGACAAAGTTTGTATCCACATTGAAATGTGAATCTATGAGCCTTGTTTACATTGTTTCAGAGAAGAATTTGTGTTTTTATCAACTGTTATGACTTCCATTTTTCAGAATTTGCTCCATTGATTCCAAATTAATAACAACATTTTATTCTAGTCTTAACAGACTTTATACCCCGGCAATCCGAATTTTAAACACGCTCTATGTGTTGGATGAGATTAAGAATTTGGTCTTCTTTGATTCTTTTGTTGTGTTTGCTAAAAAAACCACAAATTTGCCAATTTATTTCAACATGTACAGTAATCATATTATTTTTTTGTGACCAAATTCGTGATTTAAGCTCCTTTCAAATGATAATTATTATACTTCCCGAAGCTCTCAAATTCGTATTTTTATTATACTCTAATGCAAAACATATACATATACAGTATATCTGAAAACTGATCAGTTAATTTCATTCTCTTCAGCTAAGGTGTAGCTTGACAATAAGTACACCTGTTCTAAATGGTAAACAAACGATATTTGACCTTACTACACACTATTCTTATGTCCTAACTGGAGCATTGTGTTTTACATTAGAACCAATCACATTCATTTTTATCAGAATGTGCTTCTATCGAATCTCACTCCACCGTTCTCACTTATTTACGATTCACATTCTCCAGCTAAACCCACTAAAGTTGATGCTCCCAAACCAATTCTAGTTTTGTTAGCCATCCAAACAAAAACTGGCTTCTGAACCACGACAGATTTTCCGGAGCTTCTCCACCATCACATGATTCAAATATGAGAGAGACTGCTACATCATCCGTTAGAGATACAGATTTCTGTCAGCGAACTGCAAGTTGTTTTGGTCACACACAATCAAGACAAGACGACAAACCAATCTATCAAACAGGACAGAAAGCTTCCAAGTCATCTGTACAGCAGTCAACAACATCCATGAATACCGAAGTCATCTCTTGGACACTCTTGTATATCTTCCCAGAGAGTCTGTGAGACTTATCATCCTTCATGAATCTATGAACTTCCCCTTGTAACTCAATCTGGCTATACCCTGCATCTTTCTTAACTCCTACCTTCTCCATTCTCCTCCTAACCTTTGACGCAGCATCCAACAGTCCACAACTCGCGTATCCATTGGCAAACACAACGTAATTCCCACCGTTCGTTGCGTCCAGCTCGAAGTATTTCGTAGCTGCGAGCTCTAGCAGTTTCACGTTCCCATGGTTCCTGCATGCTCCAAGTAACGAACCCCACACCGGAGCGTGCTTCTTGCACGGCGACTTCATTACAAACTCGTACGCTTCTTGTAGCCTACCAGCACGCCCTAAGATGTCTACCATAGCTGCATAGTGCTGTCCCTCAGGCTCAATCCCGTAATCTCTCTTCATAGAATCGAAATGCTCCCGACCTTCATCAACCAAACCTCCATGGCTACACGCGGTGAGAACCACCAAAAACGTAACAGAGTTTGGTCTGCAGCCTTCTTCCTTCATCTTATCAAAGCATTTCAACACTTCCGCAACTTGCCCATGATACCCATATCCAGACATCAACGAGGTCCACGTAACCACGTTTCTGGTGGAGAACTGATCAAATACTTTGTAACCATCAGAGACGCTGCTGCATTTGAAGTACATATCAACAAGAGAACTATTGACTATAACGTTGGACTTAATACGGCTCTTTATCATCACACCGTGAGCTCTCATCCCGTGTTCTAGCGACGCTAACGCAGAACAAGCTCTAAACACTGAAGCAAACGTGTACTGATCCGGAGCTACCCTGTGGTGTCTCATATCGTAATACATGTAAAGCCCTTCTTGCTCAAGACCCTTTTGCACATACCCTGATATCATTGCGTTCCACGGGATCAAATCCCTCGATTGCAAACTACGAAAGAGGATCCAAGATGTTTGAAGATCACCTGATAAGGCGTAGAGTATCAAGAGCTTCACTTTCAAATACTCATTAGGAGCAAACCCTACAACAACCATTTGAGCATGTACCCGTTTCCCTCTCGTATACTCCTTCCTCTGTTTGCATTCCTGCAGCAGCATAGCGTAAGTACCAGGCTCGACTTGTAACCCGCTACGCCATAGTAGACCAACAGCTTCTCTCAACCTCCCTGTAACACACAGGCCCTTTAATGTCTTGTCCAGCTTCACTTTCTTTCCCTGATGCTCCACCTGAAAGCTAGAACATGTCACAGGTGAACAAAAAATTTGATCTTTCAATGGAAAGCTTCAGACTTTGTTATATATTATGGTTTCAGCATTCATAAACAAGATATGGATTTTCAATTCCCGCGAGACCAGAATCATCAACGAAAAACCAAAAATTGAGGAAAATGCATCTCGAAATTAAGATTGGATTTGGAGATGAGAAACCTGCCAGTTTCTCCTATCCGCCAGCATCCGCCGTAGGATCGTTGTCGCTTTGCCGGAAAACATAGGACCAGGTAAATCGTTAATCTCACCCGAAGCCGACGAGGATAGCGATTTAGTTGCCTCTGTGTGTAACTCCCGAGTGTAAACCATCGCAAGCCTGTTCAGCGTGAAGCCGAGATCGCTCAAAAGTCGGGATTTAAAGAGAAGGGAGATCGAGTTGGAAGAGAAGCAGATAGCCGAAGACTGGGATTTGTGGGAAAGGGAAGTCGAGATTAACGTTATCATCATACGGGAAACGGACATTCCCTCCGATAACGAGAGGAGATGAAAGCGATGGTCGCCGGGAGAAATTGTGACTTGCAATTAAATTTCTCGGATTTAAAGGTTCAAGCGGAGAAGAAAGGGTTTATCTTATTACTAACCGATATTATAATAATTGTGTTGTGTACTAACAAATGTCAAGATGGCCGAGTTGGTCTAAGGCGCCCGCTTCAGGTGCGGGTCCGAAAGGGCGTGGGTTCAAATCCCACTCTTGACACTACATTTTCGTATTTTTTTTCTTTCGTTTGTTGGATGTGTAAAAAAAAAAGTTCGTTTGTGGGATGTGTGTATCAAAATTATCTTCAAATTATTTTATTACTAAAAATTACATGCTGAGAACTCCATAAATTTGATCAGGTAATAGAGGCATAGAGCTTTGATTGTCAAGAAAATATATCATGTTGCTCAAAACTCATCCTTTTGAGAGATTTTTCATAGAATAGTGGTTGATATCATAGTTCCATAATCCATTAATTGTTTATTCATCTCTACCACAATTTATATGATGGAAACTAGGAAAAGCTTCAAGATAACAAAAATAATTTTGTAGCAAAACGAGATGTAAAGATCATGTTTCCCATCTCTATTTTGGAAACTTCTGTATACTACTGAGCTTGCTGCTTTGGGTATTGGAATATCCTCTTGAGAATTCAATAGTAACATTCTAAGAATATTTGAGTGGTTTTTAGTGAGTTATGTTGTTATTCTCTGTATTAGTCTTGTATGTAAAATCTTTTGCTCTCTCTGCCATCTTTATGAAGTGCTGATAATCTGTTTTTGTCACTTTCGTTTTCTGGTGGCAGATCAGCCGCAAGGTTTACGAGTTACTACTGTTGTCTCCTATTCAATAAAGCTCATCAGTGTCTCTGTCTCTTTGTTCTCGTCTTTACAAACTTTGTCCTTTGATTTCAGCTTATATTTAACTAGGAGTTGTTTTTTTTTAACCATGTGTAATCAGTGATTTAATTTGCTTTCATATCAGAAACCAAATGGAATCATCTCCTGTAGGACGATTTGAAAACAATCAAACTAAATACATAACCTTCTTTGAGATACTTTCCAGGTATGTCTCTTTATCTTATGTTCTCTGTGTTTCATACATATTTGATGGCTCCATAGAATATATGGTTTAGTAAATAGTAAGCTATTGAATAAAAAGTATGTTGTAAAAGTTAAAGTATATGTCAATTATATTTTCAATTATTAAGCATAGTAAGTTTGTTTATTTTCATAATGTCTCAGAGATTAAGAGAAAGACAAGTGATGGATGGACATGAAGCAAACTTAAAGCCGCATGTTTTTTTTAGTTAAAATAGCTATTCTAACTGCGAGTCATTTTAAGAAGTTTGTAAAGTTGGCTAGCAATTGTAAAGCAATTATTCATTTAAAAAAAATTATTTTGTTTCACAAATTTTTCAATAAAATATATAGTTATGAATATTTAGGCTTCAATTGGTGACCAAAGAAATGAAAGGGAATAATGAATTCCTATTCATTCCTTAAAATTTTTACCATTTGCTAGTAATAATATTTCCCTATCATTCTTTTTTATTCCTTATCATATAAGGAATTATAGAACAAATATATTCCTTATTAAAATTGGGGAGGAACAAAATATATTTATTTACTTCTTTATTTATTTTTCATTTCTATTCATTCTTTTTCTTTTGTTTCTTTCATTTTTTTTCTTTTTATTCCTATTTTTTTTTTATCGATCACCAGTTAAAACTTTATTATCATAATAGCTAATTTAATTTAATATAAATTGATAAATAATTGAACAATTTGGCATCACTTCCAAAAGTTGATGTAAAATAATATTTTTGTATCACTTCCAATAATTGATGCTAAAAATGAATTATAGAGTCAGTTTCAAAAGTGATACAAAAAAAATTTTAGCGTCGGCAGTTTTAGTGTCACTTTTTAAATTGACACTAAAATTCTAGCATCACTTAAAAACTGATGCTAACATTTAAAAAAACTGATACTAACTAAATTATTTTTTTGTAGTGATGCATGTCAATTTGAAAGGGCGTTACACAGACTTATAATACTTATAAGACAGAATTTGTTCAAACAGAACATACTCAAATCTACAAGAAATAAAAACATTTATCAATTTATTTTGATACGTATTTTGTATGCCACTTTGAGTTTTTGGGTTATTTTTTTCTTGTTTTTTTCTAATGTTATGCTCATGTTTCACTTATGTATTACTTATTTTTTGCCAATTTTTATTCTTTGATTCAATTTTGTCAATTTATTAAATAGTAATACATTTACACCAAATAGAAATAATTTTCAGTGGATTTGTTGCTAGCGGAGATGTTTACCAAATTTGTAGTGTTGACAATAGGATGATCGTCAAGAAAGTTCTCCGTGTTGCTCAAAACCCATATCCTTTGAGGGAACTCTCGTAGAACAATGGCTCCTTGTCATAGTTGTCACCTTCACAGGTAATGCCTTGATTGTTTGTTCATCTCCGCCACAGTTTATATGGAACCATGAGAAGTTAAAGGAAAAAAAAATATTGAATTAGCAAAGATAAAATGTAAGGAACAATGATTCATACATACATATCAATTTGAAACAGAAAAAAAAGGCTCACTTTTAAGTCCAATTTGGATACTTTTGATAAAAGTTGCTCGTGCCAAAGAATTCTTTTTCAACTCGAAAATTTGAATGACTTTTATTGTTCATATACCAATAATAGCTAAGTCCAACTATTACAGTTTTCAACTAACACAACTTTAGGAGTTACAGTTATTTGACTACGAGTTTGAGAAGAAAACGCAACCACTAAACATTACCATTTTCTACTGAACCGTTCTTACCCCAAATACATTCCGAAAGTTTATCCTTATTGACTGGATATTAGACCACTTGTTTTACCATCAAGTTGTCAGTAATTTTCTAAATTTAGCATTTCAGTTTGAGTTTTGTTTTCCTTAAATACTGTTTGGTGGATGCATAACACTTCTTAATATTATTTGTTTTGTTTCGAATTGTTAACCAAAAGTTTAAAACACTTGTTTTTCTTTTAACTAAAGTCAATAGAGATTTGGAATATCAAACTCAGAGTATAGCCCAGGTAAAATTCTTCTTGCTTTGTAAATCTTGCTGATGTAATTTGGAAATCAAACAAACTCTTTCAAATCATGAAATCTATGATTTGATTCAGTACATTTTTAATTTCTAATTGTTGCAGCATCTGAGTCCGAAATCAATACTAGTGTTTAAAATTGCATGGTAATGAACTGTTAAGATACAGTAATGAACTGTTAAGTATTTATACATTTATTCATAAGGTAATGAAAATACAGTAATGAACTGTTAAGTATTTAACTATTTATTCATAAGGTTATCTTTTGCTAATCTCTTGAAAGAGATTAATCAAATCATATAGTACTTTAAAAATTTTTGGGTGTGAAATGCTTACTACTGGGCCCCATCATTTTTTCTTTAAATTTTTAATAATACTTTTTAGATTTATACTTAAAGTTAAGGACTCAAAATTTAATTAAATATAGACCAAAAATTGATCACAGAGATCTGCTAAAACTGAAAGAAGAGAATCACAAAATCTTTTGAGTCGAAAGATTGATTTTGTTTATACAAAATAGAAGATGATAAATCCACGTTTTAAAGGAAAATAAGATACTTTTCCTTTTTACGCAGAATCTCGCGAAAGTCGGATAATCCACGTAAGATTATACGAGAACGAGCTAGTCATTAGTCAAATGGGATTAGGTTAATATGGTCCCACTTACAATTAGGAGAATCTTATCCGTTTCACCTCATCTTCTATCCTCTCTTCACTCTCACCGAGGTCTATTCTTTAGATTCAATACCGTAATACATTATTTTTGTGAATAATTAACGCTCTGGTTAGACTCAAATTCTTTTGTTGAAACCATGACTTTTGTTTTTTCTTTATTTAACGTTTTTTCGCTACTGATGTACTAGTTTTTTTGTCATGATCTTACTTCTTAAATAATGAGTTTGAATAGGAACAAAAGAAAATCTAAAAGTTTTAATGATGGATGATGATGATTCCAGATGTCCGTTTTCGAGATTCGTTTACATTTCCTACATATACACCATTTTTTTTATAACATTTCTGGGTTTGTTAATGGGCATTGCAGGCATCGAGTGTGAGAATCTCTACTTTCTCTCACAATCTCTTTTGATCACTGAGAGAAAAGAATCTCATTAGGAGGAGAGGAGAGATCAGGGACAAAAGATGGTGGAAGGAGGAATAGCGAAAGCAGACAAAACAGAGTTTACAGAGTGTTGGAAGACGACATGGAAGACGCCTTACATCATGCGCCTCGCTCTTTCCGCCGGAATCGGAGGTCTTCTCTTCGGTTACGACACTGGAGTCATCTCCGGTGCTCTTCTCTTCATCAGAGAGGATTTCGACGAAGTCGATAGGAAAACATGGCTCCAATCGACTATTGTCAGCATGGCGGTGGCCGGAGCCATCGTCGGAGCAGCCGTCGGAGGTTGGATCAACGATAGATTCGGCAGGAGGATGTCGATTTTAATCGCCGACGTGCTTTTCCTAATCGGTGCGATCGTGATGGCCCTTGCTCCGGCTCCTTGGGTCATCATCCTCGGGAGAATCTTCGTCGGATTCGGCGTTGGTATGGCTTCGATGACGTCGCCGCTTTACATCTCGGAGGCTTCACCGGCGAGAATTAGAGGCGCGCTTGTTAGTACCAACGGTCTTCTCATCACCGGAGGACAGTTCTTCTCTTACCTCATCAATCTCGCCTTCGTGCATGTAAGTGATGATGAGTTGATAATAAACAAATAAAGCTTCAAGCTTTTGGGTAAATCTTAAAAAAACCCTAATTTTGATTTGAAAATGTAAATCAAACAGACTCCGGGAACATGGAGATGGATGTTGGGAATCGCAGGAGTTCCGGCGATAGTTCAGTTTGCGCTGATGCTTTCTCTGCCGGAATCTCCACGGTGGCTCTACAGGAAAGACAGGGTCGCCGAATCGAGAGCAATCTTGGAGAGAATCTACCCGGAGGAGGAAGTGGAGGCAGAGATGCAAGCGTTGAAAGAGTCTGTGGAAGTAGAGAAAGCGGACGAGGCAGTCATGGGAGATAGCTTCATCGCGAAACTCAAAGGAGCCTTCGCAAACCCCGTCGTCCGACGTGGACTCGCCGCCGGTGTCACAGTCCAGGTGGCGCAGCAGTTCGTTGGGATCAACACGGTGATGTACTACAGTCCCTCGATCGTGCAATTCGCCGGTTACGCCTCCAACAGTACAGCCATGGCGCTGTCTCTGATAACCTCAGGACTCAACGCGATTGGTTCGATCGTGAGCATGATGTTTGTGGACCGGTACGGTAGAAGGAAGCTGATGATCATCTCTATGTTTGGGATCATAACATGTCTCATCATCTTAGCCACAGTGTTCTCACAAGCGGCCCTCCACGCACCAAAGATCGATGCGGTGGAATCAACAACGTTTGCACCAAACGCTACATGTCCAGCGTTTGTCCCGCTCACGGCCCCAAACGCGCCTCCTTCGAGGTGGAACTGCATGAAGTGTCTGAGGTCGGAATGCGGATTCTGCGCGAGCGGAGGACATCCGTACGCGCCGGGAGCGTGCGTGGTGTTATCGGACGACATGAAGGCGACTTGCCACTCGAGGGGAAGAACATACTTCAAAGATGGATGTCCAAGCAAGTTTGGTTTCTTGGCAATAGTGTTTTTGGGGCTTTACATCATAGTGTACGCACCAGGCATGGGTACTGTCCCATGGATTGTCAACTCTGAGATCTATCCGCTCAGATACAGAGGTCTCGGCGGAGGAATAGCCGCCGTCGCGAATTGGGTCTCCAATCTCATTGTGAGCGAGAGCTTCCTCTCACTCACACATGCTCTCGGCTCCTCCGGGACTTTCCTTCTCTTCGCCGGTTTCTCAGCGGTTGGACTCTTCTTCATTTGGCTGCTTGTACCTGAGACCAAAGGACTTCAGTTTGAGGAAGTTGAAAAGTTGCTCGAGGTCGGCTATAAACCCAGTCTCTTGCGGCGAAGGAAGAAGGCCAAAGATGCTGTTGATACGGCTTAAGATGATTAACAAATACTCTCACTCTCTCTTCCCTTGACTCTTAATTAATAAAATGTAACCAACACCAGTTTCTAAATTATATGAAATGGGAAGCGAATACGTAATATCAAAGACCTTTTTTAAAACTTTATTCAAAAGGGTTTCAATAGGGCAGTGTACAAAAAGCCTCAAGTTAATAAGTGAAATGTTTTTAACTTACGAGGCAAAGACATGTATCATTGTCTATGTGGTGGGACAAACTACTGTTTCAACGATAACCATTCACTATTGTAGGACAAGACATTATAAGCGGTGCCAGATATGCTGACACTCAAATCATCTACCAGATCCACCGTCTCTCCTCCATAGACAGACAGATCCACAAACATTAGAAAAGATCCAACCAATAATTGATCCAGATAAGAGTTAAACAATTGATTAAAAAATTGCTTTGTTCATTCATCAAGCTTTTTGCCTTAAAAATCAGCAGCATATTCCACCTCCCTCACACCAAAAACCTGAATGCTAGATTTGTAATCCAAATAGCACTCCCTTGAAACTAAGCTTAACATCAATACATGAAAGAGATCAAAGTCAAGTCAAGTTTTCCGAGACTCGTTTGATCTCTCTTTTACAGTCTACCACAAAATACGCTATACAAAACCCACCAAGCATAAACTGTATATACATACTAGACTGAGGAAACTTTCACATGGTTGCATCCATGCAAAAACCCAATTCAAGGGCTTGATGAACATCCTTCATTCCTTGGCTCCCGTAGATACCCCAGAAGTCTTTCTGCCTGCAGGATAGAAAAAACGATGGCAATTCATCAAGTTCAAGCCTTTCACACATCCTACTGAACTATGGAATCCACACATCGCATTAAAACTCTAATCCGTAATTCATCAAGTTTAAGCCTTTTATAACAGTATTTTGTAGCTAAGTCAAAGCTAAACGTAAAAAGATGTCATAAGAAATCAGTAACATAGATAAGTTCTTACCTTGCGTTTAGCTCTAACGCTGACGCTGCCGCTCTGAGAAAGACCCACAAGCGGAGGAATCGCGCCTTCCCTCACAAGCAACCCACGGTTCCTGACGCTATCAGCGCAGAGCTGCAACAGTGTCAAGACCGCAAATTCTTTCCCTTTCACCGATCCGTCCTCGATGGCCTCCACGAGTGCTGCGATCCCTCCTTCCTCGACAATGGCCTCTCTGCCTTCCTCGATCGCAGCTAGGCTGCTCAGAACCACCATGGCCTTCTCCGCCATTCCAGTGCCTTCCTCCGCCACGAGATCCACCAGCGGCTTCACCGCTCCGGCGGTTACCGCTCTCTCCTTGTTTTGCTGAAGCGTGCAGAGCTTGTAGAGCGTAGTGAGCGCGTCCTTTTTGCCCCTGCAGGATCCGTTCAACAGAAGAGAAACCAGCGGCGGAATCGCGCCGCAGGCTCCGATTGAGTTTTTGTTCTCCTCCACGAGCGCCAGGCTGAGCAACGCGCATGCAGCGTTCTGCTTTGAAGTCTCCGTCCCCGTTTTGAGAACCCACACTAGGGATTTGATTGCTCCTCCTGCGGCGATTACGGCTTTGTTCTGGTCGTGCAGAGAGAGATTCAGTAGAGCCGTGACGGCGTGCTCCTGTGTCCACGGATCGTTGCAACGAAGAAGTGGGATCAGAGCTTGAATGGCTCCAGATTCCCCAATCAGCACACGGTTATCCGCCCGATTCTTCGCCAGGAGACGCAGCTTCGCCGCTGCTGATCGCTTTATGGCCACAGAAGAAGAGCGAAGTCCGTCGATGCAGAGTTTCACCGTTGGCTGTAGATCTTCGGGCGAAATACACTCGATAATCTCCGTGGAGAAGTTTTCCCTCTGTAGAAACCCTAGACACGGCTCCCTCTCCAGTTCTGGATCCTGCGCTTCGTAATCTCCGACGTTCTCCTTTCTCTCGACATCCGGCGACGGCAAGCAAGCGAGACGATGTAGCTCGCCGGAGATATCGCTACTACACGCGGAGAAATCGCTAAACGCCTGAGAAATGTCGAGAAACGCTTCATCTTTCACTGAGGAAGCGTTTGAATTGAGTGAATTACTGTTTTTCAAAGCGAGCTCGCCGAGCCTCATGTCGATGACTGAATCCGACAGGTACTCCGACGCATACCCCGATTTATCGCCGACGGAACCGACGAATGAGCAAGATTGATCGCCGCTTTGGTAGAAGTTAGATCTCACCGTCCTCATCGACCGGCCAGCTTGACGGTGTATCCTCGCCGCCGACGGCGACGATGAGCCGTAGAAGTCTGTTGTTAACGGGAAGCGGGTGGAATTCGAATGAGATAACGGATCCTCCACCGAAACCATCTTCGTGTAAAGATTGAGATGACTGTGCTGACCAAATTCGACCTCCGCTTAGCTCTCAGTTTCTCTAAACTTTCATGGTGTGATGAAAGAGGAGGCTTGAGGAGTTAGGGATGAGAAGGTTTTAAAAGCTTGCAGCTGTTTAGTATCTGGGTAACTCTGTACTCACGGGACTGTGACGAGTATCCATTCTCACGGCGACACGTGGAGAGATCCAGAGTTGGATCTATTTAAATCGACGATTCAGAAGGAGCAGGAGATTGGTTGCATGTCTGTCTCACCAGCCATGTGGCCGTGACTTTTTGGTGAACTAAAGGGTCCACGTTAAAGTACATAACTGCCCCTACAAACAGAGGACTCGACTCCACAGGACACGTGGGACCAGTTGGCTTTTTTGGTAATTCCGATAAGCTACCGATGGGGTTTTTATGAACGGCTGAGGAAGAGACGGTTTTGGACCGTCAGACCAGATATCCAACGGTTAATACAGCTTTGAATGAACACCTGGGCCACACGTTCACAGCTTGCCCACACGTGTCTATCGTGACCGTCGACATAGATCCGCCTAATGCTTTTGGTTTTAGTTGTGCACCATTGCAATATTTATTGGTTTAAATCGGTTTAGGGTTATAGCTAATCGGTTATAGCTATGTAAATGGTATTAATAACTAATCGGTTACATGAACTCAAGCAAGTGATCGAGACGATACAGCCTTTTATGGAACAAATCAGATTGAGGAATTTATACAATAAATATTACTTACTGTAATTAATTTCAATTAACAAACCCATAAAGATTCTTGATTTGCTTTCTTTCAACTCACTAAAAACCAAAACAGAAGTTTCTAGGTTTTTTTTCTCTAAAATCAAAACTTTTACATATGTTCTAAAAATGAGTTACTTTGTTTTTTCTTAACCAATCCGTTAATAGATCAATTGAGTAAGGCATCAACTTGATGCAATCAATAATATATGTTTTTTATAGACAAGCATAAGTAAGAGTGCACGTACGATTAATTAAACAAAGATGTATAATCTGTCGCCAAAGCGACGTCTCAACAGTTTAAAACATGTTAAATTCCTCTCTCAAAGGCTATATTACTCTGAATTGCATGCCTCGGAGGCAAAGGATCTCGTTGTGATGATTTTAAAAGTAACGTGCTGTTTAATTATACAGCACGGTGAGTTGTTCAACACCCCAACTAGAATCTAAAATGATTAATAATGCCATTATTTAAATGTGATTGTAAAGATTGTGTTTGTCCCCACACTAACAATTGTTTAGACAGCCGTAGAGAGAGAGTAGGTATATCCTTATTACGGCGACCAAAATAGACAAATACTAGTATTGTATAAAGACTAGGTAATTTTTAAATAATTAATATCCTCAAATTGTCGATTAAATTAACTCATAACATATATAAGTAGACCAGTTTGTCGTTTTTAGCAACTTAAACAAATTTAAATGATGAATGGTTCCATCACAAAATGTCATTTTCTGCAAAGTTGGGTGTATGTACATCGATCTGTACATAATTGTATGTCTACGCGTATATGACTATATGTTATTATGTTCATTAAAATATTGTATGCAAAAATTATATTTATGATATTTTACGGCTGTATAATTAAGTAAAATGTTGAATTTGACAAACAACAAACAAAATGGTAGCACAAGAAAATATAATAATCATTTGAGTTTGATATTTATGTGTAGCATTTACCACTACCAGTAGAACGAATTATTAATCACTGAACCATCTCTGACCAAAATAATTCACTAAACCACCATCTTACAGTAATTGTATTTTCGAGAAAAGAGTATATAGTTGTATATAGTAATTCAAAATCATAAAGTTAAAGCGGTCCTGGAATAACAACGGATACGCGTTACTCACTATATTCGAACCGTGTTGCTCACTTTGTCCGGACCAAACAAAGCTCGATTTTCACAAAAGCAAGTCCTGGAAATATAATTAAAGAGAATCATATAAATTCTTTTAACTAAAGCTTGTTCTTTATATTTTCGAGATGCTCGGCTATGGCCATTCCTGTGAAGCTTCTGATAATGTTTTTGCTAATTAAGAGGATTCTGTTCATACTATCCACCATTTAACTTTATGTTATTTTATTTTTTGCATTTTTAAAAAGAGAGTTAGTTTACACAAAGTTTATCGTGTTTTGTAGCATCAGCCATTATTATTGGTTAATGATATAAGACTCGGTATGAGAGGCTTATATGATGTGGGAGTGATGGGATGATGGAGTCAATACGCTGGCTATGTCGCTCTCTCGTATGGACTAGTGGATGAAAGGTGGTAGAACAAAACTTGTTAAACAAGTCTTGAGCCGATATGGGATCTATCAAGTTGGCTTTAACGTTCTCCCTTGAAGGATCAATGAATGGTGAAAGCAATGGGATGATGGCACCACAAAGAGTATGGAAGGCTCTCTGATACAGCAACACTTAGAACTTGGTGAATCCACACGCAAGAACAAGCAAGAACAAAGGCTAGCGGCGGCTAAGCTTTTGTGAAGAAAGTTCGGTCTCTTTATTGATAATGTAGAGTAACCAAAAATACAACGCTGCAGGAGAACTTTATAAACAGCTCGTCAGCTAGCCCTAAGGCCGAAAATAAAAAGCAAAACGACATAACAAGAGAATACAAAAGAGCAAAAACGCACAAAGACAAAAATACATGAAAAAGGAAAGTTCGCTTAAACTAAAAGAAATAAAACTAAGCCAACTTTCTTGATGCTTTAAGGGCTCGAACTGGTGTTGTCTTGGCGTGTTGGAAGGCTTAAGAACCACTGAGGCAAGCCTCATTACCTGCACAAATCGTATAAACTGAAAATACCTGGTTTTGGCGCGCATGTACCTTGGTTGGCAAGTAGTGGTTTAGGTCCGGTCTTGGGCTGCATTGTCCGAGTTCCTTGAAGCCCTCATCTTCCTGATATCCTCTGAAGTCAAGTTGGGGTGGCTCCTCGAGAGTTCCTCCTGGTTCCTGGCTTAAAGTGTCTTCTAGCTCCATTGATGTCTTCTCGGCTCTTAAACTTGATCTGGTTGTATCTTGGCGCTCCGGTACGGCATTGGTGAGATTCTTGTTGTTTTGAGCTCCATTTCCTGTCAAGTAAATGGTCATACCTTGGTTTGTGGCCGACGGATCCTCCTTGAGGCTCATTTTGACAAAACCCTCCGATATGTCTTCTACGGGTACAATGGGGTATGGTTGAGGGTTTAGTAACATTCCCACGTCCATATTGATCAGTAGCATCTCCACGGCCTCATTAAACCCTTCTCGCATCCTTATGGTCTTGGAACGTGTCATTGGTGAACCGTTCACTGGTGGTACGACGTCTGGTTCCCATTCTTCTTGTTCCGGTACAAACGATTGGTCGATGCTCTCATCATTCCCTCCCCCTTCGAGAGGTTTTGTCCTCAAAACTGGCTTATCTGCATCATAGGGAGATAAATCAGTGACATTAAAACTATGAGAGATGTTGAACTCACCTGGCAACTCCAAACGATACGCATTATCATTGATCTTCTCTAGTATGCGAAACGGGCCATCTCCTCTTGGGGCAAGCTTTGAACTTCGTTTATGTGGAAATCTTTCAGGTCTCATGTGAAGCCAGACCCATTCTCCTGGTTCGAATGTTAAGGCATTGCGCTTCTTGTCCGCTTGCTTCTTGTAAGCTTCTGTTTTCTTGAAGATGTTATCTCTAACTTTCTCATGAAGCTTCTTGACAAATTCTCCTTTCCTGAGGCCATCTAAATTAATTTGCTCAACTTGGGGAATTGGCGAGAGGTCAAGAGGGGTTAGTGGGTTAAAACCATAAACAACTTCAAAGGGAGACATCTTAGTAGCTGAATGAATAGCACGGTTGTAAGCAAACTCTATAAAGGGTAAGCAATCAAGCCATGTTTTTAAATTTTTACCAAGTGTAACCCTAAGCAAAGTAGAAAGAGTACGGTTTACCACTTCTGTTTGCCCATCAGTTTGTGGGTGGCAGGTGGTGGAGAATAACAACTTGGTACCAAGCTTTCTCCATAAGGTTCTCCAAAGTGGCTTAAGAACTTTGTATCCCGGTCAGAGACAATTATTCTTGGTAAACCATGCAAGTGCACCACTTCTTTGAAGAATAAATCGGCGGTTTGAGTGGCATCATTGGTTTTGTCACAAGGGATGAAATGGGTCATCTTTGAAAAGCGATCAACAACAACAAAGATAGAGTTTTTGTGTCGGATCTTAGGCAAACCTAGCACGAAATCCATAGAAATATCCACTCATGGTGCGTTAGGAATAGGTAATGGTAAGTAAAGGCCATGTGGGTGTAACCTGGACTTGGCTTTGTGACAAACAACACAACGTGAGCAATGCCTTTCCACATCTTTCTTAAGGTGCGGCCAATAGAAATGATCAGCCACCATTGCTAGTGTTTTATCCACTCCAAAATGACCCATAAGTCCTCCACCGTGGGCCTCCTTAAGTATCAAATCCCTCATTGAACTTTGGGGGATGCACAAGCGCTTGTCTTTGAATAAGAACCCATCGTGTAGATAGAATGAACTGAAAACGCCTTCGCCGTGTAGTTTATAGGCTTCTCCAAGTTCCGGGTCATCTTTGTATAGCTCCTTAAGATGCTCAAATCCTAGCACCTTAGCCTCCATAGTAGATATCAAAGCATGTCTTCTTGAGAGTGCATCGGCTACAACATTCTCTTTCCCCTTCTTATACTTGATCACGTAGGGGAATGTTTCCACGAACTCTAACCACTTAGCATGTCTTCTCTTGAGCGAAGTTTGGCCTCTTAAATGCTTCAGCATCTCGTGATCAGTGTGAATGATGAACTCCTTAGACAGTAAGTAGTGCTGCCATGTCTCTAGAGCCCAGACCAGAGCGTAGAGTTCCTTGTCATAGGTTGGGTAGTTGAGCATGGCTCTGCTGAGTTTCTCACTAAAGAAAGCTACTGGTCTCTTCCTCTGATGCAGCACGGCTCCAATGCCCAAGCCTGACGCGTCACATTCCACCTCAAACACCTCATCAAAGTCTGGTAGTGCAAGAACGGGTGCTTCGG